GATGATCTGAATAGGAGCGAACGAGCTGACTGTGTACGTGTTTCAAGCAAACGAGTTGAGTATGAACGTGATTCATGGAGATTAAACATTAAGTGTACCTAATTTATGTGTACCAATCGTTAACATCCCGCTAATAAACCATTGCGACAGCGAAGTCTATCTACGCCAAGTTCTTGGCTAGTAACGCCGTCGCTCTCGACCAAGGGTGGTCCGTTTTCAGAGAGTAGCTGCAAGAGGTGATGCCTCAAGAGACTGCTCAATGACTTAGGTAGGCAGTTAGCCCAAACAAGTAACTGTAGCTGGGGAGCTAAGTTGCTTGAACGAAAGGTCCTCAAGAACGATCTAAAGTCGAACTTACCTTTGCTAAGCTCCTTCCAGCCATTCTGGCTGTGGAGAGTACTGTCAGCTTCAGGGTGAGGATGTAGACCCCATTCCACTATGTACGTTAGTACACTACTAGTGTAACACTAGTGCCAAGCTGGTCCCCAGTCGGGGCTCGGAATTCCAGCAAGGGGTCATCGCCAACATATAGCAAGGAGCTCTTAGATGAGCCGATACTAATAACTCGTTCGACAAGTTCACTAACCGGGAGCTCACGGAGAGCGTTCAAGGACAGGGGATCTTCTTGCCAAACATGTAGAGAAGTATCAGGCTGGTCCAACATAGAACCAAGAATATCCCTCAAAGGGTTGTCAAACTTACTGGATTGACTAGAGTTAGCCGAACGCCGCGAATTGCGAGATCCGGTTGAACGCCTTCTGCGCTTCTCTGGGGGATCATTGTCACCAGAAGATGAGGTTGAAGAAGAGGAAGAGGGTGACGAAGAACCATCCGGCTTATCAACTGGAGGAGGGGGAGGAGGCGTCTTATCACCAGTATTGTCCTCCTTATCTCTTAGATCTTCTATAACATAAGAAGTATCATCCTCTTCCAGCACGTCGTCGTTGTCCAAGCCGTCCTCTTGAAGGGTCTCCTTGCCGTTGACTTTATCATCAGGGGATGGCATTTTGCCATCAGCTATAGTAGAATTAACATTCTCGGATGATGCACCAACTGTATCAGTTCGAGATTTATTAATTTTACTATGCTCAACAGTGTTAGACATTTAAAGGAAAACAATATAAACAAAGATAATCAAGTATACACAGTATTGGCTCTAAAAAAGATACGGGACAGCAACACAGCTTAAGCGCAAGATTTATCAAGTGCGCAATTCATCATATCATAGTCATATGCCGCCACTGGGAATCGAACCTGGGTGTCATTATTTGCTTTCGTGATCATGCAATCTGAGCGATCTGTTACAACACTGGCATTGAGCTAGCAGACGATTCAAGTAGAGAGTTCTGAGTGTATACGTGGTGATAGCAGAGCAATTCGTTTGCGCGCTCAGGGAATGTAAAACAGCTCAGCCAGTAATTCTTTGTGTATGCATGTCTGTCGACCGTCAGGTCGAAAGTAACAGCTGCGATATTCGAACTCGCGCCCTTTCGGAATGGCGCATGGCCAATGGCACACTGGCGCCTTAAGCCAGCGCCTTAGACCACTCGGCCAAACTGTCGGTGAGTGCTGCAAGTGACACAGCCGATAAATGATCACACTGGCGTTGGGCAAGTTGCGTGCAGTCACAAAAGTCAGAAACTTCTCGTTTTTCCCGCGCAGCTGCTTATTTCCGCAAAACGCGAAAAAGATATCACCCCACATGCCAAAGCCATGACAGCTGTGGGGTTCGAACCTACGCCCTTCCGGACTTGACCTTAAGCTAATGCCTTTGACCACTTGGCCATAACTGGTCGGTGAGTGTTGCAAGTGACACAGCCGAGAAATGGTCA